CGAGATGCGCATCTGTCACTCGTGCCATGCGGTGAACCATTGGCTGCTTTTTCGTGAGACACAAGTGAACTCACACATTTTTTTCTCAGTAAATGCTTTTTCTGTGTGTGCTAAAAGCCTGGAGCTGTTTTCAATATTGATCGATGCCCGTGATGTGTGTAATCCTTCTATAAATTAGATGTTAAATGAACTTCACTATTTGGTCTACCATCACCTCTTTCCATGAGTCACTTTACTTTTTATTCGCTGATCTTCTATTATATGCATGCAAGCTCTTTATTGACATAAATTTTTGGCAAATACTACTGCTGAACACTCTCAGATTGGGACGATGACACCTTAACTTTTCCGCCTTGGAAGTTTTTCATCACACCTGAAATTTTATCAACCTAATATTCCGCTTCTTTACACGTTAAGAGAGTGTTATTCATTAAAAAAAATATGCGTAGTTAGCTTGATTTAAAGTTCGGAACCATGTCTTCAAACGAGGACATCAGGGCCCAACGGGTGCAGTGGAGGCAAAAGCGAATCTTAGGGTAATGGTTTATTTTCCGTTTTATACACGTACTTTGACGCGATAAAATAGTTTCTCTTAGCTCTTTTAACCTTCGTTGACGGACATGAAATTTTTTGAAGCAATTTCTTCCGTTGGTGAGGCAGAGGGGGGCATTGACTTTTTTCGATTGATTCGTGGCTTGCCCTGGGAGCCCTCAAGCAGAAAAGTGGCCAATTTGATCATATCTGACATCTTCCACTGGTGTTCTATTGCCAAAATGAAGCCTTTTTAATGGCTGCAGTGGGGAAGATGTCTGTTCACACTATTGTGACAAATCATTAACATTAGCTTTTGCTAGGGCCTCCACAACATGCAGCGTGAAATATAGGAGGTCCATCTGATCGTTCATGCGTATCTTTTGTTGCTCAACATTCCACCGATAGTGTAGCCAGGAGTTCGTCAAAGCCAGGTTCATGAAATGCGCAATTACGAAAAGTGTACATTTTCTCAAAACGAATGTATATCCTGCAGAGCGACACCAGGAAGTTGGTCTTATCAACTCCTCCTATGCTCTTATTGCATTCTTGCGCTACAGCAGGCCGTTTCACATCAATGAAAATGCCGTCTATCTTACTCCACCGTGACACGCAATCTTCTTATTCAACAGCTAAAAAGTTGGATGCCATGTTCACCGCCCAGTTATCCAACCACCACGTTATGGCAACCTTTCCATTACTGCTTAGTGCGGTGTCATGGGACCCTCTTTTTTTCTTTTTTCAAATTTTTTTCGATTTCATTGGGCACTTTTGTGTTCTGTTGATGCGGATGGAGCCGGCAGCATGAATATTCTTCTTGTCGAGATCTCGAAGCACAGGCAAAGATGTACAAAAACTGTCAAAAAACATTTTGTGCCCAAGTCCATGAGGATTTCTTGGCGTAAAATGAAGAACAAGATCACCTGTGACGCTGGATTTCTGCTTTTGGCCTTCGTTCAGGCATGTAATGCAAACTTGATAAATTAGAAAATCGTATGTGATGCCGGAAGCTCCGCACAACAAATACACCTTGACGCCCCAAGACTTTGGTTTGCCCTTTTCGTATTGTTTGATGTCCAGTTTACCTTTGAATGGTATTATTTACTCATCAATGCATAATCGTTCTTCCAACGTAATGCTCTGGCATCTTCGTTAAAAGGAAGTGAGCAGCGGTCTCACTTTCCAAAGGGGATCACTTGAATCATTCTCTTTGGTGACGTCGACAATGAGGAGGTAGTCGTGATGTTGTTCGAAGCGGTTGCTTGACATGTCCATTCTCGCTAACACTTTTGTTTTCAGAATGGGCTTCCAGTATAGACGCAGACGGGGGTATTTGACAACGCCCATCAGCAAATGGAGAGACACAAATTTCCTTATTCTTTCTTCATTTGCATGGACCGATTTGCCTTCTTCGAATTTATGATACATGTTTGTTTTGTCAGCCAGTTCAGCAAATGTGCTCTTGGAGATGTAGTGTGAGAAATATTCGTACGGATTTGGCAGCTCACCCACAAAAGGGTAAATTTCATCGGAAATATCAGTAAAATCAGTTGACGGCTTCTCAAAAGCTTTACATGCCTGTTCCTCATCTGACTCATCTGACGCTTCCAGCATTTCTAGCATGCAGTCATCGCTCCCAGCCTCTCTAAAAATACGTTCGTCATCGTCTTTGTCATCTTCAGTATCCCCGACGCTTGATAGGTTTCCATTGTCCAACTGAGCGAACATTCAATCCGCGTCTTCGAGTGGCACAAGTCGGGGCCTACGGGCTCTCGTCGCCAAGTAGAAGAACTGAGGTTTGATTCCAGCACCTGAAACATAGACAAAAACAGCTGTACAGCCACGAGACGCCACACTATCACCAGCGAAACATGGCAACCACCAAGCCCTCATGTACTCAATTAAGGACAGATGTTCTTACGCACGTGATCACTGAAATACGCATTCCCTGAGAATGTCTGCAGTGATTATAGCTTTTATAAGGAGTTAAAACATTCTGTTAAACTTTTAATGCGACATCAACAGCGGCTTGCGAATAAAGAAATGGGAGCATATCCACGGAGTGAATAATGGAGAGTGGGGCGAAGCATCCGTCCGTCCATTCGTTCTTGCTTCCGTCCGTCCTTGCATGCGTCTGTGTGGCCGCCCGTGAGTCCATCCGCCCGTCCGTGCTTGTGTCTGTTCGTGCGTCCGCACGTCCATCAGTGCGTCCGTACCTGCGTTCGTCCATGCATCCGCTCCTGCGTCCATCTGTCCGTGCAGCCATCCGTGCGTCCGTCTATGCATCTGTCTGTGTGTCCGTTCGTCCACCTATTCAACACTTCAATTACTACCATCTCAAATCTTTTCATCACATATTTCTCATATAGAAGCAGCGTCATCCAGCGGACATTTCAAGGACTAAACGAGAGGATGCACACGCACACTTTCTTACGGCTTGTCCTTCGTGCCTACTTCCCAACTTTAACCACCTCGAGTTATTGGTATATACTAGTTCACTGTATTCATGGCACTGCGGCCCAACGCTCGCTAAACCTTTCTAAAACCAAGGCGGTTACGCCCAGCGAGTATAACCTACCAACGCTTTCTCGTCAGATAGTGCTCAATGTACACGCCAATGGCTGCTAATCGGGAATGACAGACAGGAGAATTCGCCTTTTAGTTAACATACACGCTGCGATTTTTTATTGTTCAACAACGCACAGGAGAAATCTCCCACCAGCACCACCTCGCAGGTCAAAGCGTAAGACTGCTTACGCACTACGACTACCACGAGGGACGAACGGGTGCCGCTTTAGGGAGCTTCACCCCTAAAAAGTATCAACGGTGCACTTACTTGACCCAGCGTCTACTTCGTTGTCTTCCATCTTTGTTGTTCGTCGCTGCTGCTTTGACGAAGTCGATAGAGTGAGAACTGATGTGAATGCCATATGTGATCTTTTGCGGCTTCTACAAGTTAGGTTTAGGTTTCTCTTTATTTAATGGCGTCAGAAACACCTTTTTTGGTCGTGTCCTCGTTTGAGGACGCCAGAGCCCAAAGGGTACTTGCGAATTATACTTGCGAATGTTATATTGATTACACAACTTTGATGTTACTGTACCGTAACCACGAAGGGCACGCACTTCTCTCAAGTTGGTCAGCCAAGTGCATTTTTCAACAACAAATGCACACTGGTTCGCGCGAAGAGCTGTCAAAAATTATAATGCCAGCACGGTGAAATTCAAATAATTCTGGAGGTTGAGTGGCTGGACTAACTACTAGAAGGTGCTGAGTGCACGTGAAGCAAATTCAGCGTGCAAAATTTGACGATCAAAAGCGTCAGTCATTGGTAATCACATTTGAGTAGGCAATTTAAACAAAAAGTTAAATTCATATGGCTCACCTTGACTTGAATATATACACAAGGAAGCTGATTTCCATGCTTGGGGTTTTATTAGCTAAACGAAGCAGGTTCACCAGTTTTCGATAGTAACGCGCTCATGTTTGGGATTAGGATTCATTAACAAACGACAAAGCAGTCGAGATTTAACTCGAAAGAAATATAACTGATTTGAAAGAGTACAGGGCATGCGCAGCATTCACTAGCACTTAATACTGTTATTGAACTAACCGCGTAAAATACGAGACATGTCAGATGCGATCTGCTTGTGAGGGTGTCGTCGTAGTGACTGGTGTTAGGCAAAACTCTTCAAGTGGCCCTGCGACACTATTGGGTTAGCTTTATTTAGCGCTGCTACGCATGTAGCATTGATTACTATGACGAATGCAACAAGAGTTATGGAAATTGGTGCACATACAGCGATGTAATAAGTCCTCAATGTTCACGACTCTTAGCAGATGATGACGAGAAACGTTCTCTTTCGCATTTCGCTCACCTGCTGACGTCAAAGACTACTTCCGATTACAGCGCCCGTCTTGTAAAGATACAACGGAAGTGCCCCTCATGGTGGCGTTCCCACAATACGTCGCTACCACTCTTTTTGACGGCGTTGTAAGCATAGTTACTGCGAACCACGTGCGTCGGGTAGCAGGCACTCCCACGGTCAAACTGTGTAAGATACATACGCTCTGGGCTAGGTGACTTCTCGGCTCGTTTGCAAGACATATTTACGGCAACGCCAGCGGCCACCACCTGTCGCAATTTTGGTTTGCTAAAAATGCGGCACGCATTTCCACCTTTAGTTGCGGGTGTACCATAGTCTCGTTCACAGGCTAAGGGTTGTGTTCATTGTTCTGAAAGTAAATCTTTTAAACAGAAATGATTTCTTTCTGAAAAAGTGCAAAAAAGGTTTTGACGTTTTAGCATTGATTCGTATAGCCTGGCTACCACAATTTGAATATTGCACGCTATTTGGCGCGTCATGCCAATAATAAGCGAACGGTTCTTGCTTTGGCCAACACATTTGAAATCCATCCAAAAACGAAGGTATCCGGGGCCCCTTAACTTATTATTCCTTTATTGTTGCAGGTGCGAAAGCCACATGCCGCTCATTACAATTGTATACGCATGCAGGACCGGTAAGTACAGTTGCTTATATTATTGCACAAATAAAGGCCATTCTAGAAAAAATGGCATCTATGCGCTAAATTTCGAATTCAAAAAAAAACTTCCGGACTTTTTCAATACAACTAATGACTTTAAACAAAAAATAATAAACAAATAATTCAAGGAGTATACAGGTATTTGCCTATATGTTCACCCAGTCCATGTTAAATCAATCAAGGGGCACGGCACTGCTTCCGCCATGCGCTGCTCACAAATGATCTTCTTCCAGGCCACACTGTTATGGACCGTACACTCTTGGCTGCCTGGCTTTTTCCCGCTGCACTTCGACGAGCCACCACCGCTTAGTCTGGTCCTGCTCGGATACCCGCTGGGTCTGGATGCATCCGCTTCCAACTCCTGGCAACCCGGATTGGGCATGTTTACCGGTGACGCAAGCGTAGCAAAGCATAAGTTGGAGCCAGCCGCCAACACCATCGGGCACGGCACTGCTTCCGCCATGCGCTGCTCACAAATGATCTTCTTCCAGGCCACACTGTTATGGACCGTACACTCTTGGCTGCCTGGCTTTTTCCCGCTGCACTTCGACGAGCCACCACCGCTTAGTCTGGTCCTGCTCGGATCCCCGCTGGGTCTGGATGCATCCGCTTCCAACTCCTGGCAACCCGGATTGGGCATGTTTACCGGTGACGCAAGCGGAGCAAAGCATAAGTTGGAGCCAGCCGCCAACACCATCGGGCACGGCACTGCTTCCGCCATGCGCTGCTCACAAATGATCTTCTTCCAGGTTAGTTACTTGAACCATGCCATGTGTTACAAAACGAACAATTACTGCCTTATTGCGGTGTCGTGCCCATTAGAGTTGTCTTGCGTTAAAAAGCATATCTTGAGTTGTTCATTATGCATATCTTCTTCCCTTGTTCACTTGCTGCTCTTGCTGGCGGGCGATGTTGAATCGAACCCCGGCCCGATGAGTAAGGCAGAGGGTGTTGCCTTCGAATCGGCTTTGGGGGCAATTGAGAAACTGCGTACTGAACTGAAGTCTGTTTTGCTTGAACTTCAGGGTATTAAGGCGGAACAAGCAACTACTAATGGAAAAATCCAGAATCTTATAGCGAAAGTAACTGCTCTTGAAACCGGTGCAATCGATCCAGCTTTCCCTGAAGTAGTTCCTTCTCAAAATGCCTTGCATGATATCTCAAGTCAGCTACAACAAATAACTTCCAGATGCGACGATGCAGAAAACAGATTAAGACGTTCCAACGTGATATTTTTCGGTTTAGAGGATGACGAAAAAGAAAACTGGGCAGCGTCTGAAGAAAAGGTCATCAAATTCTGCGCAGAAAAACTCGAACTTGCCACTACAAGTGTGCAGTGTGAACGTGTACACCGCCTGGGCAAATTTTCCATTGGAAAAAAACGGTCCATTATAGCAAAATTATCTTCATTCAGGGACAAACAGAGCATCTTGTCTGCAGCTCGTAAGTTTAAGGAAACAACTTTTTTGATTGGGGAAGACTTTGCGCCATCAACACGTGTGGCCAGAAGAAAGTTGGTCGCTTTTGCCAGATCATTCGACAAGCCGTACAAGTTGGTCCTTGACAAGCTTCACTTGGATAAGAAGGTATATGTGTATGATGCCGTTAATGACACAGTTGCTCAATCTTCCAGATAGCTAGATGTAAGCTTAAACTCACACGCGCCGCATCTCGTGCCCCAAGCAGCCTTTCCACTCTCGGTCGCGTACACGAACATCCGAAGCTTGTTACACAAACGTGACACGTTTTGTTCTTTTCTTGATGATAGCGATTCAGATATAGTAGTACTAACGGAGACATGGTTGAATCCAGATATAAGAGACAACGAAGTACTACCTCAAAACGACCTTTACAAAATTTATAGGAACGTCCGCGTAAATAGGCGCGGTGGCGGCGTACTCCTTGTTATTAAGAAAACGCTTCATTCGCATTGGATTGATTCCAAATCTTCCGTCGAAATTGTATGGGCAGCTTTGTCTATGTCATCTAGTGTGGTATTAATTGGGGCTTGTTACCGTGCACCAGATTCTGATCATTCCTTTTTGGGGGACTTGCGTAATAGCATCTCTCATGCCATTCATTCATGCCCATGTAACCATGTATATCTTCTTGGCGACTTTAATTTTCCTCTTATCGTCTGGGAACACATGTCATCCTCATGTCAAGAGTCTTTAGAACTAATAAATCTAACGTTGGATTTTAACCTGTTCCAAGTTGTCAAAAAACCCACCCATGCTTCCAATATCCTGGACTTGGTATTCACCAACGCTCCTGACACAATACTTTCAATTTCAAATGTGAGGGGTTTTAGTGACCATAACCTCCTCCAACTTAATTTAAGCATCCCGAAGCCCGTATCTGGCAAAACAACAAAACGAATTCGCGATTACAATAGAGGAAATTACGCTGTCATTAACACAGAACTAGAACAATTTTTTTTAAAGAGTTACTACCTACTTTCATTTGTCGATCCGTAAATGAAAACTGGGTACTCTACAGAGATAAATTAACAGCGCTAGTCGATCAGAATGTTCCCTTAGTGTTCATAACCAACGATAAATTAAGCCCCTGGTTCAGCAAGTCCCTTAGCAAACTGCGAAACAAGAAGAAACGGTTGTACAACAGTGCTAAACGCTTGCGCACTGATGGGGCATGGCAGGCATACAGACACTGTTTGAAAACCTACTGCTCAGCAATAACCTCAGCTAAAGATAAATATTACTCGCAAGACCTACCTTCCCTGCTTCAGTCTAATCCCAAAAAATTTTGGCGAACTATATCTCCGGTCAGAGATACCAACACTATTACTTTACATGGAACTGACAAAATACCTATTCCTATCGCCGTTTGTCCCTCTGTTTTCAACAGGTTCTTCTCATCTGTTTTCACTCAGGAAGATTCTTCCAATGTGCCTACTTTTCCTGAACTTGACGCCGCCTATATGGAACCCATTACTGTCACTGTTGGAGGCATTGGATCACTCATTAACAACCTAAAATTATCCACATCAGCCGGTATTGACAACATTAATTCCAAGATACTAAAGAACACCCTCCCCATATCAAGCAAAATATTATGCCAAATTTTTGACCAATCTCTAACATCTGGCATGCTACCGGACGACTGGTTAATAGGAAAGATAAAACCAATTCACAAAACTGGAGATGTTCACTCGCCTGACAACTACCGACCCATATCTTTAACTTGCATATGCTGCAAAATGCTTGAGCACATAATCAGTTCACACGTGTACAATCACCTCGAGACGAACAATTTTTTCTTTCCTTATCAGCATGGTTGTAGAAAGGGATTTTCGTGTGACACACAACTGTTTGAATTCACCACCGACTTACACTCAAACATGAACAGCAACCTTCAAACGGACTGTATCTTTCTGGACTTTTCTAAAGCCTTTGATCGTGTGCCCCATTGCCGACTAATCTCTAAGCTATCTGCTCTACGACTTGATTCTTTAACATTAACCTGGATTCGAAACTTCATTTCTTTTCGACAGCAGTTCACTGTTGTTAACAATCTTGCGTCCCCTTTTTCTTCTGTTAGTTCGGGCGTGCCGCAAGGCAGCGTCCTTGGGCCCTTACTATTTTTAATCTACATTAATGACTTACCTTCCGAGATTACTTCTTGCATGCGTCTATTTGCCGATGATTGTATAATATACCGTTCTATAAACTCCAGTAATGACCACTTAACCATTCAAGCAGATCTCAACCATATTTGTAACTGGTGCGACAAGTGGCTTATGAAACTGAACTTAACAAAATGCGAGGTAATGTCTTTCACCCGTAAACACGTAAACTCTGAATTCTCCTATTACTTGAACAATACCATGCTTTCCCACACTTCTTCCTACAAATACCTAGGTGTTCTTCTCACAGAGAATCTTTCATGGGCCTCACATATTGAGTCTACCTGTGCCAAAGCATCACGTTCACTGGGCTACCTACGCCGCAACTTGAGAAATTCCCCTACTAATATTCGAAAACCAGCCTTTCTTACCTTTATTCTGCCAATATTAGAATTCGCCTCAGCAATTTGGTCTCCTCATCAAAACTACTTGATTATTATGGTAGAATATTGCTCTTGCTCTGGCTTTTCCGGAAATATATTCCTCTAATAAAGAAAGCGGCTTCAGCTTCAAACACCTCACTCTTTTTCACGGCAGATTGCATAATCAGTTCAGCTTCATGCGCATATACGGGTCAACTAATGCATTCAATTCATCACCACTGGCCTCGGGCCGTTCGTCTTTGGAATGACCTCCCTGATTGCATAGCCTCCATATCTAATCCCGATACATTTCGCCGTCAGCTACTCACTCTGTTCACCATGTGACCCTGTTTTTGTATTTGAGTGCATTGCGTAACGGTGCTTTATATTCCCTTGTCTTTTATTTTAAAATGTATCCCTCTGTCGCCATATTCATATCAAGAAGTGCTGTATTCCCTCAAATTTACCTCGCCCTGTATAGCCTAAAATGTGATCTTATTTATATATATATATATAGTTTACGTTGTTTTTGCACTGATCCTGCCTGTAAACGTTACCTGTCTGTACCATTCCGATTTCTCCCCCCCCCCTTACCCAATGCCCTGTTCTGGGGCCTGTAAGGTTTTTTTTTTTAATAAAGAATAAAGAATAAAAAGCAATGATACGCGAAATTGAACATGTATATATGTTTCAAAAGAGCAGTAGAACCCATTTTAAAAGTTGGTTTAAATGTTATATTCCTCTTATATGAGCCATAGAAACTTTTGTGAATGCGTTCTGCATTTTATACCGAATTTGGAAGTAACATAAAATAGAAGCAGAGAATGCAGTTAATGTTGTGACGTGATTGTCTAATTCATTTTTGGCGATAAAAAATGTCACACAAGTAAATCTAAAAAGATTGTGAGCTTGTGTGCAATGGCCGAGCTAAATGTGCAGGTTGTGTAAAATAATGCTGGAAATATCTT